TAGATCGTTTCGTGCAGGCCAAGGTCGGCTCGTTAACCCTTAATTGCGGGTAAATGGGAATAAAGGATCGGAAAGTCCTTCCAGGTATCGATGTCCATCTTTCTCTCCCGGATCAACGACACGTTCGATCCCTGGGGCGTCCTCGATCGGTTTAATCGATCCGCTCGGCGCTCTCGTCCCGCGGCTGACGAGAGAGAAAGACAAATCGAGGAGTCTCGGGAAAGAAAGAGCGAGAGGGAAGGACGCAGGCTAAAAGAACGGGAGACGACCTATTCGGCCCGCTGCGGCTCACAAAGAATGTCCAGTATTTGACGGGATACGACCGGGCACTACTCGTCCGATGCCAGCTGTTACTCGCATGCCGACACTGTACGCACGCACTCGCGCATGCGTGCGCGACACTGCAAGCGCGGGAGTCGTGTGAGTGCGTGAGTGCACACTCGGGCATGCCGCACCTAAATGCGTGCACCGAGTGGCAGTTGCGCGTCGGTGGGAGCGAAATGGAGACAGCGGGGGACGGACGGGAAGGACGAAGAAGGACGAAGAGGAGGAACGATCCGAGAGATGCATCTGTAGAAATAGCGGCTTCTTGCCTCTTCTTGCAGCGAGTTGGGAAAAAAGAGCGGCCACGGCCGCGCCCCGCGGTGGGAACTCCTCAACCTTGGCTGCCGGCAACGTTCGATCAAAAGCGGGATCCACACCCGGTATACGGACGAGGTGTCGCCACGCACGCGTGTGCGTGAGTACCGGAACGGGAGAGACAGAGACGCCACGGGAAGCGTCTAAGGTGGAAGTACGACGGAGAGAAAACGAACGCGAGGGAGGGTGGAAGAGTGATTCCTGCTAGATTTCCTAAAGAACCAAATGACACGAGTCTTGTGTACAGCTGAATGCACTTTGGAGAATCAAGGACTGTGATTTTGTACTGAGTTACGTTGGTGGTAGAATGTGGAGAGGCCCAGACTCGGAAGTATAAACATTGCAAAATGGTTGCTTTTCTTTCATCAGGAATATATTCTGACTGAAATTTTAAGAAGGGCCTGTTGATAATATCGGTACGTGTATGGACCAATGTACATGTAAGATCTGTCCTTACCAGTATAGGAGTGAAGACTGAATTGCAAAACCCGACTCCGCTGGCGGTGATTTTCCTTTTTGATCAATTAGCCGCCGAAGAGGCGTCTATATATCCAAAAAAAGTACATCCTGTACTTTGGTTGTACTTAAATGATAAGACCTTCCTTCGCGTGAGGTGATCGAGCGTCGACGAACTTCCGCGGATCTATAATCCGTCGCGACCACCGTTGATCCTCGGTTATCCCGGATTACAACCTCAGGACAACCTACTTATCCTCCTCGACTTCTTACACGCACTTTAGCAGGTTAATGACAGCTCGCCGGCCTCCTTGGTATGAGCTCATTGCGATTCGCCTTGGATCGTTGATCTTCCGAACGCGAAACGTCCTTTTCAACCATCCAGATCGGCGCTGTCTTTTTTGGCAGTCGCCGGGAAAATTTGGAAAATATCTCTAGATATCCTCCCCGCGTCCATAGAAATGGCACTTATGGGGAATTTACAAGCGTCGCCCTCCAGGAATCTCTATGTACCGCAAAGACCGTACGTACTCGACAGGCAGTAACGACGAACACGTGCACGCTGAACGGCGGCGTATTTCTGCGTCGACCGTCGTCGCGGTGACGCCGTAAGTTCCCATCGGACTGATCTATATAACGCGGCATATGTTCGGATCATTAATTAGCATCTGGAGCCAATTAAAATAATGACGAATTCGGCACTAAAATATTGCCGACTACGTTGTGACGCGGAACTCGGGGCGGGAGGACCGGAGCCCTCGAATGGGACCTATGATAAACTCGCTACGAGAGAAATCGAGAAGAAAGATCCAAGGAGGAACTTACTTTCGTGTAGTCCAATCGTTTGTCTTAGTCCATCGGGGAAGTATTTCTGGAAAAATATGGACGCGTTCACCGTGGAGAAAGAAGTAATGGAAAATGATGAATTGGAAAATTTTTTTATACGGAGAAAGACAGGAATTTTTTCATTTATCCCGATGAATCAAATGTCTGCTTCTCTAAATGTTAATGGGGTAACACATTTTTTATACGAAGTTCAAAAACGTAGATGGAAGATTTTATCATATCGCCCAGGACAGCTCGATATCCGAATCGATGACATCCTGCAAAAAGTTAAATAGGATCTCGTTATCTCCCCTGCCCTGATTAAATGACCGGGCATCTGCGTAGTGCCTTTAATCACAGAAACGGATAACGTCTTGGGACCGACTCGACTGCATTTCATGTGACGGTACGTGACAATCACAGTCATTAGTTGCGTCGTAATCACCACCGTTTACATAACTCGTCATTGGACATTTCGTGGCAAAAAGTTGGCGGCGAATCCGACGATGCATTTTTTTTTCCTTCGATCATCTGCCTCCGTTCTCTCGTATCCGCGGCCCTCTCCAATCACGCGACAGATTCGCAGGATGCGAGAGCCAACGCATCTATCGATACATATCCGTCCCCGCCATTAGGATCGCCACGTATTACCGACCGGGGATATGTATTTATGCTTCCCGTATCATTTCGTAATTATCGATAACATCGTCAAGGCTTTTTGCAGGAAACAATGGGTGATTACTGGCCGACGTACTGCTCCTGTCTCACCGTCGTACCCCCTCACCGTCGCCTCTTCCGTACTTCGCCCCCACGATCACTCCTACTTTCATGATTCATAGAGCGGTACTCACCGCTTCGTCAAATCGATATACACCTATGTGCGCCGATACACCCATGTATCGGTACAGTTATAGTTGCCCGGCACAGTCGCCGAAACATGGAAATAACTTCGCGGCTCGTTTTCATCATGAACCTATTCCCGATATGCGGCACCTCTTGCCGGCGACAATTACGGAATCGACACGTACGAAATCGGTTTCTTTCCCCCAGGGTGGGATCCAGCATCCCGCTCCGCGACAAAACCACCCGACCGAGACAAAAGGCTGAAATCATTCCCAGCCGTTTCCGTCGGGGCGACCAACCCCAGAGGCACTCCGTGGACGAAACCAGTCCGACATTCGACACGGCTTTGACGGTTGATACCGTCGAGAGAACCGAGACCAAGGCGAGCTTTCCGCGGTTGGTCCCGGGGTGACACGTTGCAGCCGCGTAACCTGTTTGATCCGTGCAAACGATCGATAGCGGAGGGCTGGTCAGCTTATCGACCATTGTGCGAAATAGCCGAGCCCGGGCCCCCCCGGGGGAAAGAGGGCATCCGACGGGGGGAGGGGGTTACCGAAGAGGCATTCGGAGGGTCGAATGAAGGGGTGTCGGCGAGTAGCCGGAAGAGGGAGCAGAGTAACCAGCGGCACTGGTTACCGCGAAGAGAAGGCCAGCTCGGGGAAAGGGGGAGCGGGCTACTTTGAATATAAAAGCACCTATAATTAATAGCCGGGCCTGGGCAGAACAACGGGGCTGCGAGCAATATTTATTAGATACTTTATGGGGAAAGTTTAAAAAGGTAATCCCCGCCTTTGGCGATGGCGAACGCCGGGAGAGCCGTTCGTAACGACTGACCACCTCCGCCGCCAGTTCCCATTCAGCTGGCAGGATAAAGGACGATTTCCAAAGGATAGCGAGACCCCGCGAATAAAAGCTCGCTCAGAAAGCTCTCCTCGAGGCAGAGAATTGGACGGAAATCGCGTTCCTTTTTCGCCCTGCCATTGGATTTACCTATCGACTCGGTACCGTTTTCAAACGGATATAATTTCGCTCCGATGTTGGGACGAACCGGATCGTCTGGGAACTTAAGTTCTAGAATACTACGATGGGATCTGGCTCGCTCTTTCGACTTTTTCGGGAAAATTCGGTTTCATCCTTACCTAATCCTTGGATTTTGGGAAAGATCGGATATATCTCGACAATGAGGTATTTCTTGCTTCGGAAGAAACTCTGCTCCCAACGCACTCAAGGATCGAATGCGAACGGCACTTAACCTGGATGTTTCTTAGAGCTTGCCAGGTTACCCCGAGATTAAGGTAGCTCCCCTGAAATCACCTCGTTACGCGTTTCGAATGAAATTCAAGCGGGTCTTTCTCCGTCTTCCTCCGTCCCTCGCACTCCCTCACTTTCTCGTTTTCTTAGTCGCCAGCTAATGCTATTCTCGTCGTCGTTGGCGGCGACGGCGGCGTCCGCGACGAATAATAGGGCCGCCGCGGAATTGATTGATTTCGCGTCGCACGGGTCTCGCTTTATCGCGAAATTCGCATGGCGAAAATTTACAGTGTATAACCCAGGTCTTACGGCCGTTCGCCGTGCAGGACGCGAGACGCCGGTGCGTTCTATTTCCGCGTGCCGATTGGTTCCATTACCGTATTGGCGCCGGATTTGCCGTAAAATTCTCTTTACCGGTGGTCCTGAGACCGAGTGCTGCTCGATAAATTCACCTAAGTTCGGAATCGAAAGGTCGGAACGAGCCTCACTCGAAGTAAACTTTATCGTAATCGACGATGTCGAAACGTGGGCAAATGTTTACGAAACGAGGGATAAAAACGAGCCTTTAAGCACCGCGAATTTATAGTTAAGCGATTAGAATTTCCTTTGCTCATTTTCAACTCCGCAAGGCAACCTAGGGATATTAGAGCGAATTACCGACTATAATTTAGATTCCTGGCATTAGAATCTAGGTTACAGACCGCGCGATCATTGTACCCACACCCGTGTGTGCGGATCCGCTGGATACATGTATTGGCGAATATGTCACGTTGTGTGCTGCCTAGACTCTGACGTTATGGAGTTACGTATTTTTCTCGCAGGGAAACCGTAACCGCACTTATTGCAAGGTCGAGCAGTTATAGAAAAACAAATTTGCCTACAGGGATCATTCGATGAAATCGAACGCGCAACTGCTTTAGTTTCGAAAAGAATTTTTTAAGATTGAGCAACAACGTTAATTTGCGTTTTTCTTTTTGGAATTGCAGAGGGCGACCCTGGCGGAAAAGGAGGTGACCGCCCTGAAGGAGCAACTCGCGGCCTTGAGGGATGGAAACATCAAGACTGAGGGGCAGGAAACGTCCCAGAATGCGCCGGGGGCCGATCAAGTCCACGACATCAACAATCCCAGGAGGACGCCCAACACGAACTACGAGCAGGAGCTGCAAGCCAAGGATAAGGAGGTGAGAATTACGCCTAATCCTTTACATGGACGCGCGTCGAGGAAACATTTGGCAGAGTACGAAACCAGATGTTCAATTACTGGGAACCGGGGCAATTACAGCCGAAGTCGCTAAGTCTGTGTTTATACTCGAGTGTTCATCCGTCTAGATTTTCAAGTAAAATTGATCCAAACAGCCCATACGGACGTTCAAGAGATTTCGATTCTCGATCCGCGATTTCTATCAACTTATTAAATACGATTTCATGCCTCAGGGCAGTAGCCGTCCCTTTTAAGATACAAAGATTTCCTCGGCACGTGTCCTTGTATTTTCTATGTGTACGCAATCCCGTGAAAAGCGTTCCCGGTCTCGAAATCGCCTTCCGAGATCTCTGAGCCCCCATCGGGCTGTCGAAGCTGGGGGTGGATCTCTCGTCGAAGATATCCGCCCCCGGATTTCCGCGCGGAAATCGACCGCATCGAGAGAGGGAGCTCGCGAGGGAGGAGCGCCGTTGAGCTTCCAGGTGGATGGCTCCCGGTACTCTTCGCGAGCTTGACTGTTGCACGCGCCAGGTTACCGCACAAGGGCTAAAGCTCCGGCCCACTGCCGTGCGGACACGCGCCATGCCGTGGTACAATCTCCCCTCCCCCTTCGCACGTATACGCGAACACTCGCGGTATAGATGTCGCGTTTTCCAGACACCGACGTATTCAGCGACTACCACGGAATGCGCACCCCTTTCCGCGCCCCTTATGCGGCGCGCGTTTTCATCGCCCTTGTACAACCCTAGCGAAATGAGGTTAAGTTCTACCCACGATCAGACATTCCTTGACGACCTGGCTGCTTTAACTGCGACATATCGCTGGCGGACCGCCTACAAGTCGTTGGTCATTTATGAAAAGGTGTCGATGATAGGTTCACCGAAAGAAGGCGTCAGGATTTTGTAAACCTCCTTTAAAAAGAAGTTTTCACGGTCTCGTCAACGTTTCGGTATAATTACCAGGAGGAGGTACAACCCAAGGGCCTCTATGTCGCCATGGTTTAGGTGTCAAGGGAAGCCCCGCCATGGAAAATTATTGGCCGGAGATGCCTTATGACTCGCGGATCAAAGGACCGGCCGATAATACGGAGGCGCTTCCGAAGGCGGCGACTTCCGGACACGGGAGGACTCCATTGTTCTCCCCGTGGAAGTTATTATCCCTGGGGAGCGTGCCGTGAAACGTCCTGCTCCTTCGCCGGGAAGAGCAAGGAAAGCGGGCGACTAAGTGGACGGCTCGGGAGAAGAAGGGGAGAAGGAGATCGGGGATTATCGGGCTTCGAGATTACACGTCGAGGAGCAACAACGAGTAGACGCGATTTTCCCTCGAAAGAGGTACACCGGAAGAAGCGGCTCGTTATTGGCTCTGGAGGAGATACTTATTGAACTTTTAGCGGCGCTTTTATCACTCCCTTTCGCCGTGCTTTCCCGCGCTTTAAGTGTTTTCGGGCTTATTTAAGGCTCAGTCGTTCTGACGATGCTCGCCTCGCGATGCCTTTAATGGCCCCCTTCCTTCCCTCTTTCGTGCTCCTTCTTACTCTATCTCTCCCTCGCTCTCGTTCTCGTCCTGTGACTCGACCTTTTTCCATGTTCCGCACTTCTTTTCCGAAGATTTTTACGGCCCCGGCAACGTCTCTACTGCTCGTTTCTAAACCTCTACGTTAAGGGCTGTAAAATGGAGAACGGTTTAATACTAGGGGTACGATTACTTTTTTTTGGCCTGACCCCGGACGATCTTGAACAAGTAGTACTAACAATGGCCAGGCACGATCGAATTTTAATTACACCCAAAAACACGTGTTACATGCAAATTAAAAAAAAATGCTTTCAGCTGCTCATAATTCCAACGATTATAGTCTGCTCAAAAGTTCATCATTCAATGAGCGATGGGCGAATTTGATGTATGTAAAACCGAGACCTTAAAATATCCGGCTGTCAGCATCTTGGGTAATAAATTGCAGTGACTTCGGGGAATACGATTTTCCAACGCTTTCTCAGAAATGTTTGTGCCTTCGAATGACACCGAGAAAGTACCTGCGTGGGCTCTCTGGGTTATTGATCTAGACATTGGTTTAAATGACTAAAGCACTCCAAACGATTATTTTGACTGTATTTAAACCGATTAACTGCAATGATATTTTATGATCGCCGTGGAAAATTAATTTCCATACGTGTAGAAAATCATTGGTATATTGGCCCTCTGAAGAAGGCGCAAGCTCGCTCGGCTCGCGGCTCGTTTCTGTCGCGGCTATTTTTGCCGGGCAAATTGGCGGGCACATACGCCTTCGGTTATTTACCCACCCGATAAATATACGATAATGTTATCGCCGTTAGAGCCGTGCTCGAAGCGAACCCACGAAATCACAGGGAATCGCAATAAAATACACCGCCACCGTTGGCGTTCCGCCGTTTACCCGTCAAAGTAATTCTAAGGTCCCCGATGATGACGAGCGTTCGCCGGACCGTGCATTGCCCGACAATATTCTTGTCATTCGGACGTTACGATCCGGGATGAAAGTGTTTGCCACGGAAATTTCCGCCCTTTTAGCGAAATCGTGATTTTTTTATCTCGGGAAAAGTCAACCGTTTTTTATTGCCTGAAATAAGGTTCTGGTCGTAACTTCCGAAACATACCACTGCTATCGAAAGAGGAAAAACGGTAGCAGTAGGTACTTTATATCGTGTACAATACCGAGATGTGAGTTTTGCGCTATACTCTTATTTACGATTAATTTTTAAACTACACAAATTACTATTGACTTTAAATTATTACATTCATCATATGGACATTTACAGCTGTAGATAACTGACTATGATATACCGTTTCTGCAGCATTTTCCGTTCGGTAAATTTTTGTCTCATTACACCGTTGTCCAATATTGTCGTATATCTAAGGTACGACGCTCTTTCGATTTCCACGCTTATTCGTCGAATTGCGGATTCATTTTTTTCTCTCCCGCGTGGATTGAGCTACATCTGGAGGGAAGGGCAGGGTCCGGGAAGTATGGGATAGGAAAGGAAAAAATGGCCGAATCCCACTTTCCCGGAAGGGAAGTGGGTACAGCATACGCAGCCGGAGCGAAGAGGTTGTAAGTAATTGATAAAGCGGCGTAGATAACGCCTGGATAAAATCCCGTCCGTGGTAGGGCATTGCTTCCGCTTCCGGCTTGGCAACGAATGCAATTAAAGCGCGATAAAGGCTGATGTACAGGAATTTATCGAGCCGAAGGCAACCACTCGTATAAAATCCTTGTTCAAATTCTGCACGAGCGCGGCTTTCCTGGATAAATACCCTTGCTTGTCCTGGCCCCTTTCCCTTTTCCCTATTTACATGGTGCGCTTGAACGTAAGCGAAGCTCAGATTAAAGGAGGGGGAGTCCGGTTTTTGTTACATTTCTTTTTCACCGAAAGAATACCACTGGTTTCACCGCAGTACAACCAGCTATCTTCTTCCCCGGCGCTGTCTTGTTTGGTGCAAATGTTCGAGTTAATTACAAAGATTTTAGATTAGAACCTTTATCAGGTAGGTTTATATGAATCCAAATCACGCCGGTCAATTTCTAAATATTATCATTTTTCTTGAGCCAATATCGTTGACTCATAGTGAAACTCCCATCGACGAATTTCTTGAGATAAAAAGTACACGCACTCTGAACTGAATATGTTGCGCAATTATTGGCGAACAATTTTCGCTCAGGCTGCCATGGCTTTAAAGTACGACGAACCATTTCTCCTTCTTTTATTGCCATTAAATATTGAAGTCTCGTGCGAGGATAATTAGATCCTTTATTGGGGGCGTTTTTGGAAGATTAACCAATGAGTCAGTCAGACCCTACCGAAAGAGGATTGCTTTTTGTTAGTGAAGAACCAGAAGACCGTCGCTGAGAGGGAAGAGAGTACAGCGGTAAGGCAGAAACATCACGGAGAGATGAGAGACGAGAGTCTCCGTGCCAACGCAAATACGCAGACCGAGTGTTTCAAAATACGTTGGCTAATGTACCGACCGGTCGGATCAAGAAATAACGAAAATAACCGCAAGGAGACGCGCTATGCTCCTTATATCTGTACGTCTCAAGAGAGGCCTTCTCTTAACAGAGCGTCTTCCGACAGGGTTTTTACTTTCGGCTCGGTATTGTCAAAAGACCGCGGTCGAGAGGTCCGCATTTTTCAGTTCATTTTTTTAGACGGAAACTCACGTGTACGAGAAACAATGATATGCGATATCCGAACTACTGAACATACTCGAGTCTTGAGTAAGATGACTCTGTGCAAGCGTTTTTCCGAGCGTCAGACTTGACGGAGAAAATGATGCGAAAAAGTGTATAGGGACGATGATAGAGACGTAACCGAGTGATTTACTTGAATCGTTTATTTATTGTGGTTCAATCACGTATCGTGGGGTCGGTTAACTTGGCACGCGTCGTACTTACGAAGCGACATACAGGAAGTTACCTATCGGAGGTAGAGGCAGCGGGAGAAAAGAAAACTTTCGATGAAGAACCAAAGGAAGCAATCGACCCGAGTTCAAGAAAAGAATGGTCGCCATCGTGCCGATATTCCGCGGCGCGTTATTACCATATTTGTCCTGATACGGAGATTTGCTGATAATTAATGAGATAAGGAGCAATCGACTGCGCAACTCCGAGCGAAACGATAAATGCGGCAAACACCGGTGAGCGCCGAATGATTATTTTGTCGGGATATGTATGCGACATCGAGCCTAGACGGAAAAAAGGAAAGGACAAAAAGGCTGACAAGAGACAGCCGACCGATTGCGAGCGACACACCTTCGCAAACGAGGCGCCAAGAGCCATAAACTCTATGAGGCCCTGATACCGATAGATCGTTCGAGGATGTTATCGAGGGTTGACTTTTCGAAGAAACGATTTCTCGAGTGGCCTTGTCATAAATCTGCACCGCGACTCGACACGTGGTATATAGTGCGGAAAGATTACGCGGGTATGTATCGATGTATGCGCCATTG